CATCAAACCTGACAACATCATGTTTACAGATTCTAGTTTTAATCAAGTTAAGTTGATTGATTTTGGTGAGTCAAAAATAAATAGAGGGATCTATTAACAGCATGGGCAATTATATTGAACAGACCAGCACAGATTTAGTTGGGACACCCTTATTTGTTGCACCTGAACTTGCCAAGGCATTCAAAGATAGTATTGAGATATTTACAACGGATAATGATAATGATGGTGATACTGCTCAATATGAATATGACAAATCTATTGATATCTGGTCATTTGAGATAGTAAATTACTACATGTTGTCAAAACAATATCCTTGGAATGTTAATAATCATGTTGAAGAAGATCAAATGATTATACTAAGCTTTATGACAATATAATGAAAGGTGACCTAGATTTTTCTACATTTAAAACAATTAGAAGTGATATTAATGAAAATAAAACTGTTGTGGATTTTATTCTTAAATTGTGTCAGGTAGATAGAGATAAAAGGATGTCATCTGAACAAGCATTGCAGCATACAATGTTTAGTTAATTTATATGGACAAAGAAATAATAATGATAATTTTAATTATTTTATACATCTGGCAAACTTGATGATCAAATCCTTTTCAATATTTACCCACTAAATCTGCAAAAAGACAGGACTTGGGGCAGTTGAAATATGAAAAAGGACAGGGAAAACCTTGGGACAGTTGTAGTGCGGAAGTGGGACAAGGCATACTGTCCCCTGTCCTTTTCAAATTTTCTGAGTAAAAAATTGAAAAGGACAGGGGACAGGTTTACTGTGCTGCACCTGTCCCTTGGCTTTTTTTGCATAATTTCTTGTAAAAATTCCTTTATTTTTATTAATAAGAAACAATATAAACAAAGTAATAAATAAATAATTAACAATCATCAGAAGTGATAATTATTGTTTCTGTATATTTTTTATCTTTATCTTTTATTCTTTTACTCCAACAAACTTCAGTGCTTTCAGCAGTCACTCTAGTTTTTAAAATTTTATTCAGCATGATGTTTATGTAAAAAAATAACAGACAAATCAATACAAATTACCTCTTAGATTTGTTTGATTTTGATTGATTATTTGTTTTCTTCTCTTTGGTTGAATCATTGCTATTAATTAAAGTATATTTGTTGTTAACTTCAGTTAGTTAAAGTAAAATTATAGAAATAAAGATTATTCACCTTTTAACATAATAATATTGGTGTTCTTTGTTTCTAAAATAATTAACCACTAAAAAAAGAAATAAAAAAATTAACTGTTGAATAACTAAAATTTTTTTGTAAATAAACTTACAATCTATTCCTGAAATATTTTCTTTCTAAAAAATTTTCTAAAAAATATTTATAAAATCAATGATTGTATAAATGTAATGTATAGTTTGTTTTCATTTAATACTTGCTTGCTCTACTATTAAAATAATTGATGAATGAATTGGGATTATTCAATGTATAGACCACTAAAACAGTTAAAGTTTGACATCCAGCAATAGATGTTATATTTTTTGATTCTAAATGTACCATTAAAATAATTGATAAACTATAAAATAAATCGTATAAAATGCTTAAATTTAAATAATTTTAAAAAATTCCGAAATTTTCAATTCTGTTTTCATTTTTTTAGGTTTTGTAAGAAAATTTGCATTTAAAATTCGTTATACCAAAATTATTATCACGTTTCAATGAATTACAATGTTTGCGCAGAAATGTAACTCGTTTAAAAAATCTTTATTATTATTGAATTGAGCTAGAGTTCCTATTCGTAATACGAATTCTTATTCGAATTATTTATTCGAATTATTAGTATTTATATTGGTTTTATTGGTGTATTCGAATTATTTTATTCGTTTATTCATTTATTCGAATTATCCGAACTATTCGCTTTTATTTTATTCGAATTATTCGGTTTTTTTTTCGTTTTATTCGTTTATTCGAATAATTCGAATCATTTGTTTTATTATTATTTGTTCACTCGTTTATTCGAATCATTCGCTTTATTCGCTTTATTCTCTAAGTTGAGCAGAATCGAGTTAAAACTTGAATTTTCAAATTCAAGCGGATACAACCACTACTTTATATGCACTTTAAGAATTGTAAGATGTCAATTTTCTTACACAAATATACTACAACTTATAAAATTGGAAGTCAAGAAGAAGTGGATGAAATTATCAATTTTTTAACTTGTGGCCTTTTGTTTGTAAGTATTTTTTCTGCAACTGCAAACAGCATTTATTTTGTTTGCCTAATACTTTTAATATATCAGTGGTTGTTTGGCTTCGTTATAATTGGTTTTGATGAGAATTATTTTTTACATAAACTATTAGAAGGACTGTGACTTAAAGCATATCATTGGAATATGGTGACACAAATAATAACTGTGGAAGCATTTATTTTTTCCAAAATTCTTTACCTGATTAATCTCTTTGAAATAAAGAAAAATGTATAGCTTGATCGCTGATATAATTGGAGCTAATGCTTTAAATACGGTAATTACTATAAAAACTAAATTGTTGATAATAAAATATTAAATTATGAAATATTTTTAACATGTTTACCATATTTAAAATAGCTTTTGCCAATTTATTTCATTGTCTATGGAATTCAATTATTTTCTTTTTCTATAGCAGCACCTTTACGAACGGAGAAGGTAAATTAATTAAATATATATTTTTATAATATAAAAGTTTATTTATAATAAATAGTTGTGTATTTTATAAAGTTTTATGATCTTTCAGGATGGTAAATATTATTTGTTCTAATATTCATCGATTTACATATAATCATTATTAAACTAATCTCAAATTTTTCTTTTTTTTATTTATTTCAAGTTTAACGTTTACAATATGTGGAATTTTTTCATTATTAAAACCTTGGGAAACAACCTTCCCTGATTCATTAACATCTTTATTAGAAATGTATCATATTCGCCAACTGATAGCCACATCAATGATGACAATTTGGTCGATTAGATTGGCAATCTTTTTATTTTATAGAGTTATGAAAGCAGGAAATGATTCAAGATTTAGTAAAGTTAAAATTAATCCCAGAATATTTTTGGTTTTTTGGATTGGACAGGCAGCTTGGATATTTACTACAGGACTGGGTGTTTATTTAGTGAATTCTATTGTAAGATTTGTCTATGTAATTAGAAAAAAAAAAAATCTTTTAATCATAATGACAATATTAATAACATTAATAAAATTATCATTATTATTAATTAGCCTAAAGAATTTCAGGAAAATTTAAATATTATAGATTATATAGGGATAATAATGTGGGTGATTGGTATAACTTTTGAAATTATTGCAGATTATCAAAAATTTAGTTTTAGAAGTGTGCCAGAAAATAAAGAGAAATTCATTCAACATGGATTATGGAAGTATGTGAAAAAGTGAAAAAGTCCATTAGAAAAAAATATACACTAAATATATGTATTACTGAATACATAAATATATATTATATAGATTTAGCAGGCATCCAAACTATTTTGGGGAAATTTTATTAGTAAGTTATAAATTTTTCCTAAGAACAATATTTATAAAAAATTTTCTTACTAGAAAAAAATTCTTTTAAAAAAACAGTGGTTTGGAGTTACCATTCTTTGTACCCCCACTCTTATATATGTGTCTAATATTCAACCTGAATTAATTAAACCATATTTTGCATATTTTATCTGGGCAACACCATTATTTCCAGCTTATTTAATTACAAAGGTATCAGGTATTCCACCTTTAGAAAGAGGTAATGACAAGAAATTTGGAAATATAAAAGCATATAAAAGGTATAAAGAACAGACCAACATTTTAATTCCTTGGTGGCCAAAAAGTATTAAAAATAAGGAAGAATAATAAAATATTCTTTCTAACAAACATAATTTACATACAGAATATGTATTAAGATAGTAATTTTGACTCACACAGCATGTGTAATAGTAATGATGAATTCTTTTCCTTGCATAAAGAAAAAAGATTTCATCTTGTTATTTAATAAAACTAGTATTTTCATCTTACCATTGGAACTTTTAATTGAAATATCTAAATATACTGAAGATTATAAAACACTATATTCTTGCATTCTTGTTATAAAAAATGGCATAATACAAATTCCAACTTTATCATTCTATTTTGTAGAAGACAAGTAGAAATTAAATTTAAATTATTAGTAAGGCTCCGAACGAATCAATGAAATTCGAACCAATTTGAACCGATTCGAATATATAATTTGATTCGAACGGATTTGAATTCGAATTGATTTGATTCAATTCGAACGGATTCGAATATATAATTTGATACAATTCGAGCTGATTCGAATATATAATTTGATTTGAACTGATTTGATTTGATTCAAACTTACTGGTTCGAATCTATAATAATAACTGATTTGAATCCATGATTTGAATCAAATACACTATAGATAATAAATGAAAAATCTTTATTTTAATGTATATTTTATAATTTTATTTACAAAAATATTTTTTATTTTATATTTAT